GCTGGCAACGGCTGCCGCCATTGCGAAGAAACGCAAGGGCCATCAGTGATTGGTATGATTGATCCATCTGCGTCTGATGGTTTGCGTCTCATGATTGAGGAGCATGGGACTGCTGCCTCCTTGATTGAGAGCTTGTCAGCATTTGGCTGACCCACAGTATTGATTTTGATCTTCTGCTCAGGAATTGCAACAGCGATTGGCAACATGATGCTCGGATTGAGCACTATACAATTGCTGCAGACTGCGGATTGATTGCTGATTCCATTCGTCGCTATGATTGCGATGAACCGGCGGAGACATTGTTTCCTGGATGACGATTGCACATAGTTGAAGATTGGTTGACTGCATGACATTGCCCAGTTCTGAGTGCAAAAGAGTGAGATTGCCAGAGTAGTTTCGTCATTGCGTTTGAAGCCTTTAGACTGATTGCGTGATTGATTGGATTCACACTCGGTTGATTCAATTCTTGTTTCATTGCTGCTTTATTGCGATTGTAGAACAACAAAATCAGTGGAGATTGTACAGCTGTGATTGCCGACGTACCACGTCGCAATCAAGGGACCGCGTTGGATTGCATGGTCATTCTCCAGCTCATATTGGACCCACGGACACAAAGTGTGCTCAGCGTGGGTCATGAGACTCCAGAGCAACGGCTTTCCGTCATGGCGCCGTGGTGACCCTTCGTGGGAGACCGGTGAAAACCGGATTGTTCAGACCTCAGACGTTCAGATCTCCCGATGCTACTGCTACTTATTCCTCTCTCTCTCTGATGCCAGCATGCGAGTCTGACATGAGTGCAGGTGCAGTAACTGGCGGCTAATGCAGCAACCGACGGCTAACGCACAGGACTACCTCGCTATTCTGCTGTCCCGTATTCTGTCTCTTCCTTCTCAGGGATTGCACGGGCATGCGTGACTGACATGAGTGCAAGTGCAGTAGCTTTCGGCTAATGCAAGGGACTGCAGCTTCCTACGGGAAGTAATTGGCCATCGGTTTTTGCGCTCTCGCTTCTCTCTCCCCCTAACCCCGGACCTGAAGTTGAGGCACACGCAGGATGTGGTACCTCTCGTTCCATTGCTCCTGGGTGCTTGTATGCACAGCTGGAGGATGGTCCACCGCTCCTGGGTGTCCTTGCTACACAGCTCAAGATATGTAAAAAGCCAATTAAAGATTTTATTTTTGTACCAGTTGGTAAGGATATTAAGATTGTAACTCCTGTAAAATAAGCTCTTGTATCACTTTCTAAACCTACAGTATACATATGATGCCCCCAAACAAGACTTCCAAGAAGAGAAATAGATGACATGGCAAAGATCACTGATTGGTTACCAAAGATTATTAATTGTAAAATCCCAGAAATTATTATGGAAATGATCCCAAATGCAGGAATTATTAAGATGTAAACTTCTGGATGTCCAAAAAACCAAAATAAATGTTGATAGAATATAGGATCTCCTCCGAATATAGGATCAAAGAAAAGTGTATTAGAATGAAGATCACCCAATATTAAAAGAAGTGTACCAGATAAGATTGGTAATGTTAATAAAAGCATGAAAGCTGTAATCAAGAAAGCCCAAGGAAATAATGGGATAGTCTTTAATGTCAGATAATAAGATCTCAGATTTAGAATTGTTGTCCAAAAGTTAACAGATGTAAGACATGAAAATATACCAGAGATTAATAATCCAAATATAAGATTTCCTGTACTTGAAGGTGATAAAGTCATAAAAGAAGTGGATTACGGTGGAAAAAAATGTTCATCCTGTACCACCTCCAAATTCTGAGATTATAGAAAGGATTAGGAAAAGATATGAAAGTAAAAGAGTTAAGATAGAAAAATTATTGACTCTAGGATATACCACTTCTGGAGACCCTTGAAAGATAGGTACAAAATAATTTCCGAATCCACCAAACAAGCCAGGCATTACTAAAAAGAAGATCATAAGAAAGCCATGCAATGTAATGCTTATATTATAGAAGTTCTGGTTTTCTGGAGATATAATCCTATTTCCTGATGAATATAATTCTATTCTTATAAGGACTGATATTAATGTTCCGGAGATTCCAAAGATGAATCCAGATAATAAATAATAAATTCCTAAGCCTTTATGATTACAATTTTTAACTAGCGATAATAGATTCTGGAGATGAACTAAAATGACTAAGTAATAAGATCATACGTGAAAATAGGTGTAATTCTATAGAATACCCTAATCCTGCTACTGGCCTTGGACCCTGCTCGGGTAGCTGGGCACGAGTCACTCCGTTCCTGGGTCTTTGCTGGCAGCTGGAAGGATCGTGATTTCACCACCCTAATTACAACATACAACCACATGTGCAATACATTGGTCAAAAGCTGCTGGGTAGCAGTCTTCTTCTTTAACCCTCATTACTGTTGCCTTTGGGGGCTGTCGCGCCCAGCTGAGGAACAGTCGCAGCAAACCCTCAGGGTCTTGTGGTTTAGCTTGGGTTTGTGTAGTTTGGATTGCTCTGGCGCGGCATAACAGGGAAACATCGGATCGCCCCAAAGTGCTGCTGTGTGTGTGTGTGTGTGAACCTCCCTAGCACATGGGAGCAGGGGGTCACTCCCACACAATTTCGTTTTCAACCATCAGTGCATAAGGGCGGAGGGAGTGCGGGGGTGCTCCGCCCCCCCACACTCCAGGTAACGTACCTGCATCGCCTGCGCCTGGGCCCCGTTGTGGACAGCTGGCGGGGCACTCATTTTCGTTCACCTTTCATTTCATTTCGTGCTATGTCGTTCTTTTGTGTCTGGCGTGGCAAGGGGCCGAAACCATACCCCTTACGGATCATCTCCTCTTGTTTTTCGTGTGCCATTCCTTCGGTCTGGTATACTTGGCACAAAATTCTCATCTCATTTTCGTTGTCCTCATCATCATCATCATCATCATCATCATCATCATCATCAACTTCATCATGTTCCACCACAACATACAACATACTCTCCTCTTCCTTTCTGCACTCTTGCTCTTGGCCGAATCATCAGTGTGTGTGTGGTGGCGACGATCAACTTCGGAACAAAAGCTGTCACCAAACTGACTGGCACAGGTGGCTATGCGCTACATTGTTGAGAAAAAGCATTGAATCTGAAACTGCGATCGTGAATTCCGTTCATGTCTCCGCACTGCTTTTTCCTATAACGCAAAAGGCTAATTCAAATCCCCCTGACGAAATCAACATCAATATTAATCCTATCATTGTCTGTTTGCATCAACCGTGGTTCCTGCGGTGCATGTACAGGAGAAGCATGCGTTCACTTTACTTCGTTTCTTTCACCTATCTTTTTCGACATCACAACAACACAACACAAATCTCAGTTCTGGGTCCTTTGCCCGTTCGTTCCCTTGTATACAGTCAATGCTTTTTTCTACGCTGTAGCTTTTGAGCAACATAGTCGCAGACTTGGACGGGCACCTTAGGACCTTGGTGGATGTTCGAGCTTCCAAAACGCTTATGGGTTTTCGAGAGTTTGACCGTGTTTTGGGTTGCTTATACTATCGTTTACTTATTGACTACAAAGAGCACTCACAGTCCTGCCGATCCGAGAGCTGTTCGGGATCCAACAACATGGAGTGCCGTTCCGTGCTTCGTCCAACTTTTTGGTGCATCACGCGAAGCGGTGAGGATGTTCACCCTTGATGTTGCACTCAATCTAGCAAATCCATCTCTGTGTGGAGGACAAGCCCTCCCACACATTTGGCGTAAGTTTGCATCGCGAAGCTTGGAAAAGGAAAGGAACTCGCCAGCTTCGCAACAGGCATATCGCCTTCATGCACCAGTTGAACATGGCCAACGTTTTGGGTTAGAAGCGTCGGAACAGGAACTCAGCTCGAACCCAGGCCGACACGTTAAAAAACGATGGATCGAAAGCAAAAGAAGCGAAGCTGAAACAATGTCAGAAAAAATTGAGTGTTAAACGTTTGCTTCATATGGGAGCATGTTCTTGACACCAGATCGCTGAAGTGACCCGCTTGTTGCATGTGACTGCTGGTTGTTTGAGACAAACAATCAACATGTGCAGCGAGCATGTTCGAAACCGGTTTGTTGCAAAGAGGTGTTGACCCTTTTGAATACGGGAACGACACATCAACGGACTCTCGCGAGCGGCAGGCCACTCTTCAGGGCAGCGTATTGGTTATTTCCATGTTTGAGTATTCAAGCTTTCCGTGCAGCTCCTGGACTTGGGCCTTGACCCCAAGGAGGGTGGTGCCGCTCTCGTTTGCTTTCTGTTGGAGCTTGTTCGCATGATGCACCATGAGCATGTAGTTTAGTCTGCTTGTGCGTCCAGACAAAAACGGCTGTTCACCTTGTTCGCCTGGGCCACCCAGGTGCAGCGGAACTCAGTTCGGAGGCTTGCCATCTTGCAAGTGTAGGCTTGCAGTGATGTTACAGTCCGTTTCATTCACAAATCTATCTACATAGTGGAAGGTCCGGAAAGCTGCTGAGTTCAAGCTAAACCTGTTTGTCGGCCGTGCCTGGAGCTGAAGTGCAGTTGCCAGAACTTATTTCGCCCCAAGCTAAGCCTTGATGAACCGATGTGACATGCATGCTCAAACCCTGTTTTTTTCTGGCTGTGATGTGTCATTGTGATCAATCCTCAACTGTGGGTTCCCTAGGCCAAACTGCTGGTCATTACCTCAGGCTGCACGTGCCTGCTGATGGTGCACGTGATCGATAATTTCATTTCAAATCAGTTGCAGCATGGCTGGCAGAATCTTTGCAAAGAAAACCCGATCAAGGCTTTTTACATCTACGTTGCGGTTACGTGCTTGAAAGAATTGCCTGTCCGTCGCATGTAGACCCTTGGCTCACTGTCAAGTGGTACTGCCTTTGATCCGGAAGCGGACTGTGTGGGCTCGCCTCGGGCCCCCTAGAGGCAGGGGGGGTTTTGTATTCGGCAGTGAAGGGCTTTGCGGCCAAGCGATACAGTGCTCAGGAAGTGTGCAGCAATCGCAATGTCCGAGACGCGTGCACAGGAAATGGCCGCGGTACCGTTCGCAAGGTCTTTCGTGTGCGTCTCAGGAGGATGAAAAGGGAAGCCTTGGCAAGAACCAAAGCGGGACGGACTCTGCCCAGTTTGAAGGTACTGCTTACTTACATAGCCACAGTCGGGAGCCCCAGAGCTGGCAACCTTTTTTCGATGCTGCGCAGACCAAGCGAGCCACACGGGATATCGCCAAACATCTGCACGGTGCCGTCAGAGGCCTGATTTTGTCATCGCAAGTCGCATCTGCATGCTGGCTCGAGACGCATGTGCAACTTCTCCTGCTCGACGATGCCGCTCACTGACAGAAGCAAGTGCACAGACTCTACACCTCCATCTCCGAGCAACTTCTTTCCGGCCATCAGCTTGTAGCGAGGCTGCCTTTATTCCCGTTCAGATGCGACGCACAACCCACTCAAGCCACGCACGTAGTTCGCCACTTCGATGGAGCAACATGGAGATATGGATGGTCCTTCTCATTGTTACGTTCGTGCTGCTGCTCGTCGGAACCGTCGTGGCGTTGAGGCTGGCAGCACATGCAGACAAGAAGTGTTTGTAGGAGGGCAGTACCGCCAGTTTGGCGAGGTCCTGGCATGTGATGGCTTGATCGCTTGCAGTGGTTCAAAAATGTGAGTTGCACGTGTTTGAGCAGCGTTGTGTGCCAAAGTACAATGTCAGGTGCCTCAGCATCGAAGAGCAGAATCCGCGTCCACCCATCTCCGGGCTAACGCTGGGTGCCATTCGGCCCCACACCTTTGCGATCTTCAATGGCAGCTTGGATCAACAAATACGCGCCGATTCCGATTATTTTTGTGTTTGGGCTGCCGCACTCAAGCCATGTAGGCCTGGAATACGTGCACTGAACCCTCCCTGTGTCGGGCATTTATTGCTTCAACCAAAAAGCCTCTTGCTTCTGCATGCTGGTGCAAGTCCTGCGAGGAGAGAAGTGCACATTGGTCATGTTCGGCTGTAGTCGAGCCGCCGTGCTGAGCTTGTGAATTCCAGAGCGCTCGCCAAAGTCCGAGCAGTGCCATGCCATGTGAGTCGTTATAGTATACTATCCTGTGCGGCACGCGCAAACATCCTGACGTTTTCAGGGTTCCTTCATTTGGCGCGCCACTCGCATCTACTTGCTGCAGTGTGCTGCAGGCCTTCATGTTGAAACAGACAGCAGCCAGACCATAAAGCCTCAGTCGATAGACAGTGTCAGTGCGTGATCTGCACGAGTGATCTGTCGTTGCCAAAGCTTTTCAAACAGCTCATGTTTCCAAAACCGACCCGAACACTGTTTTTCGTTACGGAACACTGCCGCAAGCCCAAGCACTGAGCGTTCGGACACAAACCCACAGCCAAGGACATCAGCTTCAAATTCCGGCTCTCAGTTTTTCTTCGTCAAACCCATCGAATTAGAGGCCCCGCATCATTCAGGGTGAGTTTTGACTCGAGTGTTTGATTCACCTGCGACTTCCGAGTGGCTCATTTCATTTTCGCTCCATTGAAGCATCCTGAAACAGGCAACTTATGACGAGCCATCCAAATGAGGAGCTTCGAGTCCCTTGCTCTGTTGCTTGGCTGAGATTGCAGTGATTGCCGTGTAGGGCAGCATGCGGACATTTGACTAGCGTTGCAGGGGGCTTTCTGCTGCACGCCTGCAAGTTCCAGTGGGTTTTCTGGGAACCGAGGTCGACGGCATCGTCAAACGACGCCTTCAGGCCATGTGGGATTCGGGCCTCGGGTTTTCAGCAGATTTAGTCGTGACCACTGTCCAGCAAGCAGCCATTTATTGAGACGTCAAGGGCTTGTCGACCATTTTTCTTTGCTGGTTTTTTCCTGGTATATGCTGCACTTTAGGCTTGGAGGTCTCGTTGGGTCTGCTCATGACTGCTTGACTCCACGATTTTCGGCGGCGTACTTGGTTAGCATTGTGCCACAGAGAATAGGAGTCACCTTGGCGAGACAGTGATTATGATGAGGACAACTCGCTGCACAAAAACGATGCTGGTCCAAGGAGCACCAATAGACTGTCGCAGTTCCCCAATGGTTCACGGTTGCGCAACTCCTCGGCCCTCGAAGGCTTGGGACTGTGACCACACCTGAAGGAAATTCTGTCATGGAGACTTGTGTGCATGGTTCCGATGGCATTTCATAGTGCAGGCAGTCAGTGTAAGCCTTTCTTTACGAGATGTGGGGTTCTGGTCGAGGGTGCTGAGGAAGGTGCTGATTTTCGAGCTTGGCTACCAAGCTGTCTCAGCTCACGCTGCTTCCAACGCCTTTACAACTACACATTCTTCTTTGCTTGCTGCCGACAAGATCGGGATGTCAAAGAATGCGGTTTTACCAACAAAACCGTTAGCTTCAGGTCGCAATGTTTGATTGGCGGTGCAATGCAGCCTCGCACCAAAGTGCCCTCACAGCACGTTGGAAGCAAGCGAATGCAATGCAGGTAACCCACCTCAAAGCCTTCACCCGACTTCACCCTTGTACAGCTCTGTATGTTAAGTCCCGAAGTAAATTTGCTGTTCCTTTTCATTGCGGGCGAAGTCGCATGGCAGCGCAGGTGGGGGTCGCGAACATCCGAACGCATTGATGACATTGAAGATTTGACAGCTATTGATAGACCACCTCGTATTTCCGACATTTCATGCGTGTGGGCCCTTGCGGTGCGAGCTCCCGGAGAGCTGACTGCGCAGATTCCGGATCGACTCAGGCGCTCCTCAGTCTTGAGGGCTGTTCACTGTTGATATGCCAGAGGGTTGGAAAAATCTCCCATCCTGCTACTTGCCTGAAGCCATGAATGCCAGCCGACTCCCATCCACACATTTTGCCAGGAATGTATGGTGCTATGTTGGATAAATGCGTCCGTTCCAGGCTTGTCATGGCTTGTCGGTTTGTCAATCCTGCCGGTAGAGTGGAGGACCAGCGTCCTTGATATTGAGAGGCGTTTTGTTGAGTTTCAGTTTTGCTCGGGCCGCTTGGGGGGTTGAAGAATCGTCAGCCTGTCGTCAGCTTAATGTCCGGTTGCGGATCTACAATTCAGGCACAGATTGGTCCTTGTTGCATGCTCACATGGTGGACTTACTTTTCTTGCATTGCAGTGTTTTGTGCCTTGATCTCGCTCGACTCTCAAGAAAAGCTGCCTCTTGCAGAGGTCTAGGCATGTCCGATTTATTGAAATGCAAACATAATGCCGCACATTGCAAGGGCATGCCGGCTTGCAATCAAAGAGAGAGAGAGAGAGAGAGAGATATATATATATATATATATATATACACATATATCGGCCCATCTTGCCTGACAATCCTTTCTTGTAGGGAACAATGGAGCCATGGTTGCTTGCTTTGGTGTCGGCTTTAGTATCTTGTTTGGCCGGCGTGCATCTTGTCATGCAAGTGAGTCAGTACACAGCTGCTTGAGATTTTCATTGGGCCTTTTCGGGATCGCAGTTGAGGCTCCTTCCGATCCTTCGGTTGCTTTTGTGTAAGTGCTAAGCCTCACGAAAACCAAGCTTCCAGCAGCTTCCAGGCTTCTTTGGTGGCTTTATGGGCTGACGAAGACTTTTTTCGACGATGATCCAGCAGATGCGAGCCTGTGCAGAGAGATGGTCCATTGTGTGCAAGGTTGGGGTCTGTTTCGATCGAGTTTCATAGTCATTGTGCGATGACCATGCAATGCGGCACCGACGAAACGGGTGCCGGATGAATGCTGTCGACGCTTGCTGACCTTTGGAAAACCAAGGACTCGAATCGAGGGTCTTACCCTGGGGCCCCTTAGATTTCAAGACCGCAGCTTGCTGCTTTGACCATGTAGGCCGATATGAGTTCACGAGTGCCGGCAAACAGTACATGCACTGCGTATGGTGAGCGGGACACTACACATGCGCATCAGGGAAGACTCAGGTCTTTTGGAAATTTGTCCTTGATCCAGCTGATCTTGAAGGCGAGGCAGCTACAAAAAGAGGCGGGTCACGCACTCCGATCGGCGGGCGAGTATGGTGATCCACAGCTTTCAATCGGAAAGGAGATGGGCGCCCTTCCCTTCGTTTAACGGGGAAGCATGCTTGAAAAATCTGCAAATTCGTGTTTGACTTCGCGCGAAAGTCCATGCCAGCGAGCGTTTGCGCATCCGGTTTTTTGTATGTTTCATCACTAACCGCACTTTGAGGCCGCCTTCATGGACCAAATCTCTGAGGCCCAGGAGGTGGACTCGGAAGCGACCCTTGGGTTTCAATCCGCCGGCGTTCACGACATTCAGGGCCTTGTGGAACTACCGGAACTGTAGCACATGCCCAAGCCCGTCTAAGGCGCGTTTGCCGCAAGCGTTGTTTTGTAGTTGTCGCCGGCGCTGGAAGCTGAGGATTTGCACGATCTGCTTGGAAGCCGCTGTGCTGCTTGAGACCTGTTTGAGACCTGCTGGAAACTGCTTGTCGAAAAGGTTCTTCCAAGTTTTGAAGGTTTAGCTGGATTCCTACGATGTACAATCTTCGTGACAGCCGTGCAAGGCACTGGGTGACCGCGATTCAGCTAAGAGACTGAAGTGTGGCCATGCAGCTGGGCCAGCAAGTAGACAACATGCTGCCAGAAAAATTCAGGCAAACAGATGCACTTGCATGCCAGAGCATCTCGTTTTGGTGACAGGATTCGCTATTCTGTTCCTTACAGGTTCAGGGGTGTAAAGCGTGGCTATTAACTGCATGGTCGTTGCCATAGAGCTGCGATGGACCTTTAATTGACTGCATATTCGGTGATGCATGTTGCACATGGGACCCTAATTACCTGCATGCCGACGGTGTCAAACACAGGCTCTTGTTGATGTGAGTTTCTGGAACCTATGGCCCAATCCTTTGGGCCCTGCTTTTCCTGCTGATTGCCAAGCGCACGCAAGCTGGATGAATGCTGCTCAACTCCTTGAGAGGGTTACTGGCAAACATTGTCGGTGACTGACGATGAATTCAGTGCAGTTGCTATATCGAGCACATGATGATTGCCCAGTCCTTTGGGAACTGCTTTTTCTGCTGACTGTCAAGTACACGTAAGCTGTATGCAGATGCTGGTCAACTCCTTGAGAGGGTAGCTGGCAAACATTGTCGGCGACTGGAAGATGAATTCAGTGCAGTGGTTGTATCATGTAATTCTTGAATGTGTGTTTCGCGTAACCCTGATGCTGGCGCTCTGAACTAGCTGGAAACGACAGCTGGTCTATGTCGCTGCTGAACCTTGTTAATTAGCTGCTTCAACCTCTTGTATATTGGCAGCTGTTGCTTCAACTGTTCTTCTCAGACTCCCTGCAATGCGGGCTTCGTCCTTGCTAGGTAGGAGGGAAAAAAGCGGCAATCCTTACGACATACTTATGAAATGTGACACCTACAAATCACCAGTGTGTCTTGTACGAACAAAAGACACAATTTCGTCACACAAGGTATCAGCTGCGTCACACGGGAGACTTTCCGGGGTTGCTGGGACGAGGTCCTTTGGTATGCCCACTAGCGGCAAAGTTGCAGGTTCCGCGACACCACTTCCTGCGTACCTGCCCTCCCGAACAGACATCCGAAATTAGCAGATGCACGTGTGAGCTAGATGGCAAAAATACCTTTGAGCCGAGGTTCATCATGCATCATGCTTGCTGTCCTGGTGCTTGAAGTTTGAAGGCGGCTGCAACTGGAAGTGGCAGATTGCACGTTGCACCCTTCCTGTCAAGAGCACAACCTGCAGAGGAAACTTGGTTCAGTGCCCACAGTGCCGGTACTGCCAGCACTTCGACGCGGCGTCTTCGGCTGCAAGCTAGGAAAAAACAGGCGAATTGCACACCACCTGGAACGCCTCAGCTGTTTCGCTACATACCAAAGCTTCCATAGCATCTTGTTTCAGCCGGCGAACATCGAAGCAGGACGAGCGCATGTCCAAACGGATTCACACTCGGGCGCTTGCCACTACTTCCCTTGATGTTTGAGAGCTTAGACACATTTTGGATCACAGCCGTCAGGTGTCGGAGCCCAAGCTGTTCCACGACATCGAAGTTGGGAATGTCCAGCCATGAACCATTCGTTTCCTTGCTGGGCCCGGGTGTAACTACCTGGAAAGTAGTGTGAGCTTGTATGGGAGGCAAATCGAATCTGGGTCCAGCTCGCCCAGCCTCCCAGCCAACAGCTTCGTTGGAGGCTCCTTAGAATGAGGTTACAACTATCCCTTCGTTCTTAGCAGGACAGCCTGCAAATGGTTGGACGTGCATCCAACACGCGCAAAAAGTAGTTATCGTCGGGCATGCGATTGCCACTTTTTTGCATCTTTCGACGACGGGTGGCTGCCGACCGTGCCGATTGCACTGTTGCAGACAATGAAGTCAGACACTGCCTCGCATGTTAGTAAGTTGACCCGACAGCTCATCGGAGCCAAGCTGTTGTCCCGAAGTGGCAAAGTTTTCTGTGCATGCCGAATTCACCGCCTCGATCCACTGTTTTTCGAGATCTGACATGGGAATTTGGGGACAGTCGAAAGATCTGTACTTACAAATATGGAGAGATGAAGAATTCCGGCTGCAACATCCGTGTGGATCCAATGAACGGCACCGGCGCCTAGACTTGCAGAGAGTGAGACAGACCAAGCAGTATTGCGACAGCAGTTCGCGACTTTCCACTTCCGTCCACACGTAGATCCAAGAGTGAGGAAGGTGTTTCCAGTGTGTTGCGCTTCAAAGGTTATGATCGAGGCCCTTCGGTATGCCATTTTTGAGTCTCAGCCAGAGGCAGGGAATGGAGATCACTCACGAGCCCACGGAGCCGAGTTACGCCATTGTTCATGGGCAATCCACACCTGATTCGAGAAAATTATGTCAAGAAGCCTCGGTTCCTGACAAGTAGCTTTTTGTGACGTAGGCAAAGGTCGAAGTGTAGGCATGTGAGCTCCTTGATATTCCTTGTCCTCACGCTTGTTCTGCCGCTGCTATTTGTGTTGTGCCGAACAGGGCAACTTCGCCGCACGCGCCGCCTGGGTTGTGTATGCTTGCAGTCTCAATCTAGTTTGCACGGTTTCGTCTGCATCTTGGGTGATCATTACTGGCGGACAGCGTCAATCGCAGCGTGCCGCATTGTGATGCTTCAGGAGTCAGCAGATCTGCCTGGCCCAGGATCAAAAATGACCCTTCAGGCAGGATTCCTTCCTTTCCGTATCGCTTTGCGGATCGGCGGCTGATGTAGTCGTACAGCTGTTCTGCAGCTTTGGGTCCCCCCTCTCCACTTTCAATGGGATGACCCTGCAGAGCAGGTGCCGCTCGATAGTTTGGTGGTAAAAACTTCTCTGGACCCAAATCGGTGCTGCTATGGATCTTTGCGAAAGTGTATGCTGATTGGACAACTTCAAGGATTCCGACTGACGAAGCGGTGTAAGCATCCGCGTCGGGATCCTGACTCTACCGGTGGCTGTGTTGTCCTAAGCCCTACCAGCATGGACTTCAGCAAGTTCGTTCCTCTTGAGCTTGACTTCGGCATTTGGATCCAGAGATCAATCAAGCAGGGTGTGAGGAGCACCTCCTTCACGCCGTTTTGTTCTGCTGCAAAACACGTTTTGTTCCAGCAGATGTACAGAGACAGCGACAAGAGGAGCTTCATCAGTACTGATGATACATCAGTCTGAAAGCAGCGGGAACCATGTATGGTGAAGCCAACTTTAAGAGGTGCTGACGCCGCTTGTGCCGCTTTCGGTTCAGGAGCACTGGCTCCGTGACTGGGAGGAGAGGAGGGCCCCTCCTGCATATTTGGGACGTAGCAGGAGCTAGCATCGCCCGCCCCCTCATGAAAAAAGATCATTGTAACAGATTGCAGTGCATTTGAAGAGAATGCTGGTTTGCTCGCGTATGTAAGATTTTCGACCCCAAGGGCCGTGGCTTTTGCCTGTCCAGACTACCTATTGAAGTGGCACGATTAGAGTCCTATTTAGTGCCACGAGCTGCATCGTTGGACCACTCTGCGACCAAATGTCTGAGGCCGAGACCGCACCTCCGGAGGCTCACGAACTATTTACAGAGTGTCGCAGAGTTCGCTTCATGAGAGCAGGACAGATCTGGATTACATGCCTCCGGTTGTGCTGCCGTTTGCTTTCCAGCTGCTCCTGTCTCAAGCACCCACCACCGCAGCCGGTCCATCCCAGAGCCCTCACCAACAGCACATGAGCCGCAAGCCCGCACCAAGTCAGCCAGACCAAGGGCTAGAGCACTCGCCAACAGCCTGTGCCTCCTCAACGAGCTGCACAGACTTTTGACAAAGGCAGAAGAAGAGTACGGGAGTTCAGGTCGAAGTAAGCACAAGTTTCCTCGGCCAGTATTGGAGTCTCAGTTTGCTCAAGGCTGAGGCTGATCCTGGCTTTGCATAGTCGTTTGGCTTCTAGATGTCCTGTAGTTCAATTGATCCTGAAGGAGGACAGTGACGGGCTGCGCTTGATGAACTGTCCTTTCCATGCCCCCGAAGGCAGGCCACCATGGCTGAGGAAGATGGAGCACTGGCAGAGCAGGCGGAGTAGCTGAATTCAGGCAGTGTTGATCATTGCTGTTGTCGCCGGTTCTGCTGAGCTTCTGGTTCTTTGCATGGCCTTTCACGGCTTGGAGGTAGCCTTTGGTAACTGTCTGAGTCTAAACAGGCATCAATCTGAAGGGCTTTTTTTTTTGGCCAGATGTGGCGACATCTTCTCTACTTACCTTCCTTTTGTGAACGCTGGCGATAGATTCCTACGAGAATCATCAGCCAGTCAGTTAGACGGTTGAGGTTTGATGGTCGCCGGTTCAAACTGCTTTGCGGACACTTGTATATGTACATATACATGTAAGATGCCACAGCTTTATGCATTTGTGTTCAATCGCACACCTACGCAAAACAGCGGATCCATGCAGATGTACTCGTTCTCATACCTGAGCATATATATATATACACACACACAAATTTTTTTATATATACACACATACAAAGTCAATGAATGAATGCAGAAGCAGACTCGTCTGTTTGAGAATATGTACATGTTGATGCTAGTTTGTGTGTGTGTGTGTGTCTCGGTGTGTTTCAGCGCTCGTACGTACGCGTTGTGCAGGAAGGAAGGAATCCTTCTTGTAGCTTCGAAGATGACGAGCTCGTGTTTTTCTCATCGGATCTGGCTCTGAAAGGGCGCATGGCATTGCTGCGAGGAGAAGGAACTCACGAAAGAGGTACCAAGCCTGCTTGAGACCATGCTGCTTGGCACAGCACACATTTTGGGTAGAAGCGCGGTGGCCTGCTCGCATAGTTGGGCACGGCCACTGGCCTTCCGCAGTAAAGGGGGAGATGACATCCTATGCCCTAGGCATTGCCTTAGCAGAAGCAATTGCCAGTTTCAATGACATGACTTTTGTACATGCTTGTTGTTCTGATCTTCGAGAATAAGTCGGCACACTTCCCAAGCTGAGATTTCTGGCAGTAGCTTGAGATGGGCGCACATGCTGTAGCAGCGCCATTCATGGGCAGAACAAGCCGAACCCTGGATGACTTGGTTTTCTTGCAAATCAGCCAACCGAAGAGTTAGGAAAGCTCAGAAGTCTGAAGAGGCCGACTATCCACCAATGCACTTTCAAGTTTTCCGAGGAACCGCACCTCCTCCGAAGTCAATGCCTTCGAGCGCCAAGCGAGTGAGGCGCAAGCCAGGCAAGTTGTGGAGGGACCACTTCGGCTTGAGCGTTGAAGCCTGGGTGTTTGCTGTACACGGCCCTGGCATTTTCCCAAAAGGATGCCCGGTAGGACTCCAGGGAGGGAGGAGCTCCTGAGCTCTTTTGGTCCAAAACTTTTCGGACTGTATGGTTCGGGTGGACGCTTTATATGTTGCTGCTCGTGATGTCATGATGTGCGTGGCGCGTGGTATTCATGATAATCGATCTGAACAGCGATCAATTGTCGAGATGATGTTAATGCAAAAACAGTCCGAGGAATGAACGATCGACGATGCTGATACTGACAATGCTAGTCATTGGCACACCTTGCGCAAACTGCACCAGGTACAAGAAGCTTCTCGAACAGTGGAGTCGAGTTTATGAGGCTCGCTCGGGAGCTGCAACTTGACGGATTTTGTAGACGGCATGCCGAATCATTTCTGGACCAAACACAAGTCTGAAGTTCACCCTGACCCGTACATGTATTCGCCTGATCTCGGCGTTGACGAGGAGCTGCGAGCACACTATGGAGCCTCCATCGACCGCGTCAAGCCGTACTTTGAGGCTGGGAACAAATCCTTTGCAGCATCAGCTGCATCAACAAGTTGCAGATGTGTTGGGAGCCGGCGTGGTCGGAAACACCACGCGCTTCTTGCAGGAATTCCGTGCACAGAGACACATCCAAGTGGTTTCAGCCAATTTCCCTGCATTGCGGTTCAGGCTGCGCAAACGTTTCGCTATGCCTCTGAAAGAGTTCAGGCAGGCTGCATCAACCTGCTTTCGTGCATACTAAACGCTACCAGCAGTTTTCAATGCATGTATGCTCCAGATGGACTATGGAATCTCCTGCCAAAACAAGTGATTCGCGCCCGAGATCATGGCCATATGCGATGCATGTGTACCCAGAACCTGGTAGGTGGTCGTCCGTGAGTTCTCAGCCGCTGCTTCGCAGCACAGCCAGGCACTGTTGATGCCACGATAGATTCAAAGAGAGCAGAGTGCGGCATAACCAGCTGCAAGAGTGGCAGCGGTTATAACAGTTACATTTCAAGACCGTTTCTGTTCTGACACCAGGTCTCAAGTACTCAAAGCAATTCAGTAGGTAGGGAATTCTTCATCGGCTTCGCATGATGCGAGTGTAGCGGGCAAGGAAGATCCGTTGGCATTGTCAGTAGAGCCATCTCATTCTCAATGTCTTTACTGCTACGGCTTGAAGATACCAGATCAGCACAGCTCCAGTTGTCACTGCCAGTGCACATCTCCCTGTATGTGCAGGCCAAGGCAGAGCTGCGTAACATTGAAACTCGACTGGCCTACGGGGCGCACAAGGCCAGCAGCGTTTCAGTCGATGGAACAGAACATAGGGGTTTTGTATTTCTGGATGCGATGCCAGGCTTATCACATCCATGGCGGCTTGGCCTTACAGTCTGATATTTACAGACGAGGTACGCCTGGATCGAGACCAGCAAGATGGACTTTCTCGCGCCACTGTCAGAGCAGCTTGGCCGAAAGGCAGCGACACCACACCTCATATCACGGCATGCGAGAATCTTTCTTGTGCCTAGGTCTTGCGCTGTCGACAGGCCAGACAAGCAACGAGTCTATGACCGCTCGAAAAATGGATTTGGATCGTGTGTTGGGTGCAGGAGCGTGATCGAAGAGAGCAGGAGTACGCCGAGAGCTTGCGCGAGTACGAGGTGCCATGCTCTCTGCAGATCGAGTAGCGAGAAACAGTCTGCGACTTCCCGCACCGACAGTCGATGCTCCAGCGACTGTAGTCTAGGAGCCATGCATGCATAAGTCGGTTAAAGCCTTCCTTAAACCATCTTGTTATGCAGTGCCGGATTCAAGCTTGTAGATTTGATTCTTGGCAGGACGCCAAAGCTATGTTGGAGGCCACTGTCCGTCATTGTCGCGCCACCAGTGAGTTTTGCTGGCAATTCTCAGCAATCTTGATGACTATCAATAGTCAGACGTTCTTAGTCAACCTAAGCAGAGATGACAACATATATCAGCGTCCTCCGATGAATTGTTCCGGCCCTTCATGAAGCAGCGCTCTGTGCCAAGCCAGGGCTTCGCCTTACACAAGCATTGGTCGAGTCCTGCATCCTGCGGAGGACCTGAAACACAAGCTTGGAGAAGCGTTGATCAAGCGCTACGAGCCGATCTTCAGGCGCGGGCACATGTTAAATGGATTCTGCTCAAGCCATCTACGAGTCATGCTCTCCTCAAGCCTTGACCAAAAGATTTTATGTATGCAGCAAGCGTGGAACTAGCACTTGCTTAGTAGACATGGGTGCTCAGGGCACCGCTTTTGCCTGTACAGTCTCCGGAAGCGGCAAAAACCCATTCAAGTGGCATGCGATTCCTTGGCAAACGGAAGGCAGTTGCAGCAGCACCAGCTGACTCTGTCAGCTGAGCAGCAGCGAATCGCTAGCTTCTCTGAGAAGGCAGCAGCCGCCATGGGCCCAGGGGGAATATTCTGACAATTGGCTCTGTCGCTTTCAGGTTGGCTGCTACTGCTATCCACAAAACATAGCTGACATAGCTTCCAAAGAAATTCTGTCAAACTCATGTTCACCACAGAGGAATCAAGTGATAATCAAAGGGCGATCACTGCGGCTGATGTTGAAGCTCAGCAGAACACAAATGATTTGCGGGACCACATATGCCTCACTCCATGGCTTAAGCTTGTGGCAGATGGAATTATGAAGCCAAGGCCAAAAGCGTCTACAACAAGTCCCTTTCTGAATTGGACCGCATCAACGTCGCAGTGCACCTGGGCTTTGCGAGGAAGGTAAACACTGCCCGCATGAGAATGAAAGATCCCATGATCATAATCTCGCACATTGAGCACTATCGGCTGGATCACAGATCAGTCAGGAGATACTGATTGGCAGCTTTCGATGTAAAGTTTTCCCAACTGTACTTCGAAGTGACCCTGCACGCGGGCTTGTCCTTGCTAGGTAGGAGAAAAACTCTCGCAAAGAGTTCAGATCGTAGGCCTGATGGCATTCGAGCTACTGCTTCCTTCAGGCATGAGGCGCGCAGGCAGTCGAAGAGCAAGGCTGCCGAAGCCGAAGCTGAGCTGGAGGCCATGTTGCTGGATGGCGAGTGCTTTTTGTGCCTTGGGTTTGGCTGCTGGTCACTCGTATCAAAAGCTTGTCAGAAGGATGTGTAACTGAGCAGACAAACGGCAGCTGAAAAACAGAAAGATGGACTGGCACGCCGTCGAGCTCGCATCAGCCCGCCCAGCTTCAATGAGCTGACCAGGAGCCAGACGTCCCGGAAGTCACCCGCAGCGTCGAGCAGGTGTTCTCTTGACGTGCAGGTGCCGTGTCCACAGTTTGGGGAAGATGTTGGGTGCACCGGTCTCCACAACGTTTTTGTTGGCACAAGAAGTGGGAAGGATCACCCCCGTGTGGGATTGTGACCAGCCTATCTACAGGGTCGCATTTGCAGCGACCACGAGGAAGTCGCTTATTACATGTTGCTCTGCATTCACCATGAGAAGAATCTCAAGCCTGGGAACCTGCACTGCTGCAGGTCAGGTCTCGTTTCGCAGATCCTCCAAGATGAGCACAGGAAAATGTACAGCCTGTCCTTGTGACCGCTGCACTGCCTCCTGCGCCAGGAATTGGCTGCGTGGGATATATGGATGTTTTGGGATTTCAGGATGTTGATTCTTGGCTTCAGCTTTTCATGTTATAGGGCTTGAGTTCCAGGGGTGCACGGCACGAATTTCACAGAAGGATGGTAATTATTTGAGCTACGTCTTTTGTCCTTTATGCTTTGTGGGTCTCGTGCCTTTTTTGGTCCTGCAAGTTTTCCTCCTATTGCCCTGGGGTCAGGGAGCTAGGAGCTGAACCAAAAACAGGGGCGGCAGTGACGTGGTCCTGAAATTCATGTCCGACATCAAGACTTGGACTAGCGGTCTTAAAACCAGCGTGTCATAGTGAAGTCTGCACTTTGATCGCCAACGGTGGCGAGGCAGAAGCCTGTCTTTCTGGCTGACGGAAATGTTGCTGCGAGGCAACATGCAAACGAGAAGCTGCCTTCCTTCAAGTGCCTGGAATACTTAGCCAGGAAGCTGTGGCAAAGCTGCTACCAGTATCTCCTAGGTTTCACCGCAGACGAGGAGCGCCCTGGCCTGGAGGTCATGTCAGCATCATCTCTGTGATTTGTGAAAACGCCTCAGTGTTCTTCTGCTTCGGCGGGGCTTGTGGAAGGCTCGGCAATCCCAGAAGCAGGCCGGGAATGTGCAGTTTGAACATGGACCTCGTGCAATGGCACGGTGCCCTGTTGGAGGGTGTTTTCCACCATGCAAGGACACTAGCCTCAACCATCACTCACGGGGCAGTAACAGTTTCTCATAGTCCCTCTAGGTCTCCAAAATCCGACAATACCTAATATGTAAAGCTCAACCGGAAAGATGGTGGAAGCACTCCTCAGTAGACTTTGGGGAAATCTGCTGAAGCAAAATGATTGCGACCACCGGCTGCACGTGCAATATCGTGCAATGCATGTATTCAAAGCAAGCAGTCCCCCGTCAGGCACATCAGCCCCTAGACAGGCTCCAGAAGGAGGCCCGTGATCATTCCTTTTAAAGACTGCTTGTGGCTAGTTGTGGGTCGCAAAGTTGTCGTCAGTCAGGAGCACGAGACCCGGGGTGCAGAGTTGTTGCAGGTCGACGGCCTCATGCGATTGCGCCAAGAGAGTCAGAAGGCGAGCGGGACCGGCGGTTTTGGAGCACAAAGCTGCCTTTGGTTAACCTGGTTTGTCACTGGGCCCCTGGTTTGTGGTCAGGTTGCGGTCCTGGCGACGTGATGCAAACACATGCATTAAGCCTGCTAGGCAGTTTGCACACAGCAAGCGGGACCAGCTGCATGCCTGTGCCATGATTGGGAAACAGCGCGCGGCAACGGAGAGTCGATCGTGAGTTTGTGTCATGTCACCTTTGAGCGGGATTTGCATCCGAATGCACTCCGGACGCTCGAGACTGAGATAGGAACTCTAGCATGCAAGAAGTGTTTTATCCGCGAGGTTGCTGCATCCTCGAGGTATGCGCCTGAAGCCGAAGGCTGGTCTGACGTTGTGCAGTCAAGCTGCCGTCCGTTGCCTTGATGGTTGAGAACTGCACGCAAACCATCGACCAGTCTGATTTTGGTGGCAGGTTTCACGTTTAGGAGTTTAGGAGTCCTTCCAATGTCGCGGGAGGTGAAACAGCCGAGACGGACGCAAAACATGCGGTCTCCGTTGCTGAGGCGGCGGTAGTTTCAGACAGGGAAGATAGAATGATTGGCTTGAGATGCATGGCTTCTGGGAAGTAGGTGCCTGACTGACGACCAGGGGTGCAGGTCGAATTTGAGATTGTGGGGTTGTGGCAGTCGGCTGCCGTTGGGTCAGTCATCCTTGACCACCGCCGTGCCATATTGCCCGACATCTTTGGCGTTTGCTTAGGCTCTCCTGGAGGAGGAGAACAAAGAGCTACGCGAGGCGTTTCTGCTGTGGATTTAGATCGAACAGTGTTTCTGTTTCTTCCGGCGCTGAGTGCCTTAGAGACGACATGACCGCAGCCATCCGAGCGCTCACCGTATGTTCCCGTGTTGTGGGGCCACGCCATTACCAAACAACTCGTGTGCAAAATGTGACCGAGCACTGTGCCTGCTCCGCCAGATCAACTGGTTAACCAGGTGCCAAGCATCCCAGCCTGGGTCGATAAAGACGCGGTGGAGAACTGTGTATCACCTGGTCAGCACTGCCATGGTAATAACCATCACTTAGTGTCGTGCTCCCTGCCACACTTCAAACGAGTCTTCGGATCTGCCTTGCGGGAGCACGGTGAGCAAGCTGACCGAGGACTTTCACCGTCATCACCGGAAAGGCAGAGCTGAGAACCCACTAGCACGAAGTGCTGCGAAGCCTGCTAGCTTGTTTCTTTGGATGGACTTACAGGTGCAGGCAGGCAGGTGAGACTTTGTTTGTCCCGGAGGATTGGCAGAACCAGCGAGTCGTTTGGACATAAGACAGGAAGGGCGTGTGACAGTTTGGTCGGAAGATGCTTTTTTTCACTGAAGCAGGTGAACAAATTTATCCTTGGATGCTTCGTCTGTAGATCTGGAATCAACGGCCATTTGTGCTTCATTGTCAAGGTTGCTGAGCTTGCCTGGATACAGAAGGGTGAGATCGATGCATGGATGGTCGCGGCATGTGATTTTCTGAAGGAAGAATTCAGAGCTACCCATCAAGATGGATTTGTTGGGCGATGCAATGGCATGGATGGCATCAAGACTTAGGATGGAGGATGGCAAGAAGTGATCCGCGCCGACACACATCATCTTTCATAAGAAAAACCAGTACACCGTCAAATGCAAGAACGAAGCACTGGGGGCGCACGTGAGTGCAACAAATTTCAATGTAATTTTGTGCCTGCATCAGGTCCCGGCTCATGACAACACTGTGCACTAGGATTGCGGGGGATTGCAGCTACGTGCAGCTACTTGCGGGGGATTGCAGCTATGTGCAGCTACTTGCGTTAGATGCTCCAGAGCATGCAGACGCCTATTTTTGATGAAACACCGATGCTGCACTGCCTGTTGATCCGGAAGACAAAAGGTGCAAATGCATTCAAGACTCAACGAGCTTCCGGGAGGCTCTCTAAGCTGAAGTATACGTGGTCACTGCGGGTCAAGTTCTACGGTTTACTTATTAGACGTTCATCGTGTGATGTGGGCGTGTTTGTTATGCCATGTGATCGCAGGCTCTTGCCAATCGCCGCAAGCAGTCTCTCGGCAAGGCAGGCCCTGCTTCCATTGCCCAACAGGGCTTTCCATGACGGTCGAAACGTCTTTCGTAACAGCTCTGGATCTTTGCAGTCAATTAAGTAATTCAACGCTTGAGCTAGCGAGACTGGGGGCTTGGTCACCGCCCAAGTCTCGGTCGTGCGGCGGCTCATCGCTGCCTGGTCACCGATGCACCATTGTTCTAACAGCCGAACTGAAAGGGAACAGTTTTTCAAGATGCGTTTTGCCAAGCATGGACAACCGCCAAGTGGATTAGTTTCCACATGAGAGCTTCAAAACAACTGTCCAACAAACCCGCTTGCAATGGAACATGCTCTTCCGGACAAGTGATGCATCAGTTTTGGTTGGTTGGGCCTCGTGCAATGGTGGAAGGTAGCACCACTTCAGAAAACAAGAACCCTTCGAGCTGCTTTGCAACGGGTTCTGTTTTTGCGAGTCTAGATGCCAGTTTCCCATCGAAACGCCATGTTTCGCACTCAGCATTCAACGCTGTCTTCGAATTTCGACAGACACGGGCTTCAGGACATCAAGGAATAAACATAGAAGGTAAGCTTTAAGCAGGCAAAGCAAAGTGTTGGACCCCACGTGCATGGGGCTCTTAGGATGAACGCCACGTCAATCATCTATCGATTCCGGGGCTTGTGGTAATGGTTGCAGGCTGCTGGCAGCATGCAAAAGTTGTGCATCCTGCTTTAATACGTCGGCAACGAGATTTCACGCATTCAGTCAGGCGTCTTTGCTCGAGAGCAAGGCGACGAGCAGCGTCTCCACCCACCGTGCGGGACCCAAGAGTCGCGAATATTCGGGCATGCAAGCAAAATCTGCAACTTTACGAGCGGGACCCTTATGAGCCCAGCCAAGGCCAAGCTGGGTCTCAGTCGCATCGCAGTCCGCCTGATTAATAATCTTCCACCGATGCTTGACGGAAGGCGAGACTTCGCCGGCCGCAGCCGCAGACGCCCATCACTCGGAGCACAAACGCTCGGAGCACAACCTAGCTTTGGCATGGAACTCCGTGGCCCGATCTCGGATTCCGTTGCTGAAAGTCCAAGCTGCGAACGACTTTCGTAGGTTGGGGGGGGGTCTTGCAGTGCGCTGTCAGGCGTCCTCGTGGCACCTGGTGTTGCTGCTGCAAGCCGCCATGGTCTACCGAGCCCGATTGTCAATAGGTTCAGTGGCATGACGTTGGAATCCTCTGACATCCCCCAGCTAATGCAAAAGGATTCAAGGCTGTCAATGCAGGACATGATTCGCACAGAATACTTGCCAAATTCCCATGCAGCCTTGCCGGGATGTGCTGGTGTTGAGCATGCACCGCGCAATTGCAAAATCTGAGCCATCTACTGGGACAGTCATCACCACCCCAAGATAACCAGTGCAAATCAGTGTTCCTTGCCTCCAGGTGATCGTGGGACTTGCATTGGGTGCCCTGTTTTGGACCATGCAGAGGGCTGATAGGCGGGAGGCCCAGTTTCCAACTTCAGACAAACTGGAGCCCACATTTTTACCGCGCTTGATTTAAAGGAATGTTCGTCCGGAAATGCTATGGGCGATCTGGGCATGGCAACCTGACATCACAAGATGCGAAAACCTCGGCCACTGTGGGTGCGCAGCAGAGCTACTGTTGCCATCCGAGCACATCTTTATGCTCTGGGATGAGCACCTTTGAACTTGCTACGGAGGCCGAATCTGAAAGTCGTGATGTTCGGCCTGTTCCCATTTCTACCAACTCTGACCGCTGATACCGCATGTGCTCATCCTCACGACACTCTCCAGACTCCAGACGCTGGAGTATCAAGGGGAAGTAGCTCCACTGATGCTGATTCTGATGACGTGGGCATTTTTTGACGGCGACAGAGTAAGGCTGTTGATGCTCGAGAGATGTCAGTACAGTAGAGTTGATACCGCACTGCTCCGTGCTGCAGTCAATCCCCCCACATGTGGCCATAAACATGTGTTGCAAGGATTGAGGCTGGCTGTGTTGAAGCATGTGTTGCGAGTGATACTGAGAAGTTCCTAAAATTGAACAAAGCTTTCTGGTTGCCAAGGGCGCGGGAGGCGCGCATCTCGAAGCTGCACCGGTCCAGGCACACGGAATCTGATAAGTTGCCTGATATTTGTTGATTGCTGCGTCTTGCTTGTGTGGGAGGTTTCTGTTTGCCAGTGCTGCCTACTGCTTCTGCTGCTGCTGCAATCAGTCGCAGGATGGAGGAGAGTCTTTCCACGGAATTCCAGACTTTGCATTGTCTCTTCATTGTCCTTCCGTCTTGAATGTGTTCGGCTCTTCATATTCTTTGCTTGTGCAGGCGATTCCTTGTCGCTAAGCGGGGCCATTACTCGGGGCAGTTGTGTGCTTTCCTTGCTTTACAACTTTTTCCTCACGTAGTTCTATGGCTTCTATGGTTTGTTCTTGTTGCACAGAAGCCTTGGGTGAGCCCTTGTTTTGGCTTTTCCCGACTAGGCCGAGCCAGGCCTCCGCTGTGCAGCGTGTCCATTCGAAGACCTTGTCAGGTACGGCAGCCAAGAGTCGGAGCCACGAAACCTGGCCCAGGCCTTTGATCTGAAATGTGGTCTCCGGGTTCAGAAGTTGAACTACAACAAAAGTTATATCTTCACCAGGCACAATGTGAGCAAGGCCAGCATGCAGCTGCAAGCATATGTCCTGCTCACTCAGAGATTCTTGGAACTAGTCATGCTTGTCATTTGTGCATGTGGCATCAGCTCAATCACCGTTTGCTGGCGATTCGTGCGCTTTCTTACACTATGATGGGGTTGTCCGGATTGGCAGCGTGTGGTGATTTCAGGCCAAACCCAGTCGACTACCGGCAGGTGTTGTGGATGAGGATGAGGAGGAGCCACGCTGCCTCGAAGCTAGAAATCTCACAATCTGTTCGGATTGACGCTATCAACCTAATTTTGTTGTGCTTTCTTCTCCAACTCTTCTGTCTCGAGGAGGCCACAGTCTCTGCCGTTCCCGCAGAGCTGCGCTTTGCCCCGCCAAGAGAGGCTCGGAAACGGGTTGACATGCGATTGTACTACGTGCTGCTTCTGTTCGCAAGGATGTGTTGTCCTCATGTCTGCTGGGCTGGACTCCGGGCTGCTGAATGAAAACCCTTCAGTGGTGCTGACTGGAATGTGAGGGCCCTGATTGCTGTGATGCGGTGAAGCGAGGTCTGGAGCCGTGCTTGAACAAGATCGCTCCCTTCAAGAGGAGTGCAGAACGCGACCAGGGATGCTTGGAAAATAATGTGTCAGCGTGCCAGCAAAGAGCAACCACCCTTCTTTCTTCCGGGAACCCCGAGCATTACTTGGAAAGTTTAAGGCAATGCCACCCTGTTCCCGAACACACGATGCAGCAGGAGAGAAGATGGAGATGCTTATTGCGCGGCAATTGGACGGCGCACGGAGGTAGACAAAAAAGTTGCGCCGTTGCAAGAGTAGATGTCCGCAAGCGGCTGCTATTCACTTACAAATCATCGGGCAGTCGGCCGTGAATGCCGTAAACTCCAGAGTATAGGTTTAAACCCTGTTTTGGCTACGGTTTAGAATGAGGTGCTCTGCTGATTTGGTCGCTTCTGCTGACAGCTAGACGCCTTTGCGCAGGGTATGTCTTGCCGTCGACTTCTGTGGATAGTTTTGTGGTCGCACTCTCTGGGGTTGCGGTGTTGCTGCGCAGCTTTTCCAACTCACCGAGGCGATGCCTTCCGCCGTGCCCTGAGTGCTTCGTTGCTTCGGGGATGTCGTGGTCCATGCTTCGTGAAGCAACAAATTGAGCATTTGGTTTTAATTGTAGCCTGTGCAGGTGGACGCTGCAGCGACACTGCCGCAGCCCCGGGCAAGAGTGTCATAGCTGGCCACATCCATCTTCTGGCAGCTTCACAGACCTGCCTGCAGGCAGGCAGATCTATTCATCCAGCCACGCAGATACACACATTTTACATACATGTGTGCATGTGACCATTGGGAGCGGGAAAGGTGACTAGTGACTGCACCACCCGAACCGCCGGCCCACTTTTGTTTGGATACAGCGGCACGCTGTGCCCGACCAAGGCCTGACAGATCGGTGGATGGAGTGTTCATCGATGGCGACCACTCGTGCTCTCGAGAGTTCCACAAGATAACCGGGTTGGCAAGATCTCTAAAGCATGTAGGCAATACTAAACATAATGCTGTCGGTCATGTAGTTGCGGAAGGCATGCAGGCAATACTTAACGTGACTATTTCTGTGTATGCTTTAGGTCATGTAGGAATAAGTACGTGAAGTACTGCTTGCGTGCTTTTCATTCGCACCCACATGACAGAAAAGCATGCAAAACGAAACATGTTATGCCTTTCGCACGTGCATGACCGAAAACCTACAAAGTTTGTATGTTTGTTCAAGCAGAAACAATCCTGTTAAGTATTTCCTAAAAGTTTTTCGCATGTTAAGCATTGCTGACATGCCTTCCGCCCCAACATGATTTGACTTTCCTTCTCATCTTTTGACCCACATGGCCGAAAGCATACACGCACAACAGCACCTCAGGCAAAACGGGTTAGTCATGCCATGTACGCGGGCCGTGTGTGTTCAGGTATCTGCAGGTTCTTCGCGACATTGATGCGTGGGAACCCAAGGCCTTCTGCTAGGGGATGGTGATTGTTGGGGATGACTGAGCTCAGCCTTTGACATGCGTGAAGCCCCAGCACTGGCTTGGAGAGGTCAAGCTTGGCGGATTTCTGAGTGGCCACGACTTTGGGAACCATCCGGATGTGGTTTGCCTGCCCAGACACTCGCATCGGAAGGGTTTTGCTGTCGCCAGGTGTGCGCACTAGAAAGGAGCAGGATCCTGGTCATGGCGGCTTCGGTTTGAGACGTAGCAGATGGTCAGATCAAGACAGTGGCTATTCTGTCAGAGAATCCCAGTTTGCCGCTTCTAGCCATTGTTAGCCGTTGAGTGCGCAGCGTATTCGAGTTGCGAGGCAGGTCCACTTGTGCCCTCAGACCGTTTAGACCTCCAGGTTGACAAGTCTTCCTTGAAAGCCCACTGGCCTACAAGAGTACTGCTTTCTGAATCCTGACAGAACCCGACGAAGCTAGACGGCCAGACTCCGTTGAGTGCGAAGCACCCCAGCACCCCGTCCCACACCTGCACTAATTGTACTGGGGAGTGTTCAGTTTGGTGGGTGTGTAAGTGGGAGTTTGCGTAGATTAGGGGTACCTTGTTTTGAAGTCCTTACATTAAGGGTCCTACTACTGAGAGGACTATATTAGGGTCCCCTATTTTCGGAAACTCCCAAGTCAGGCCCGGGCTGTGCTTGAACGCGCAGCGGAGTTCAACCGGCCGGGGGCGCAGCATGTTTGTTTCTCACTTCCGGTCCTTCCTGTCGTATTTCTCCTGTCCAGCCTCGAGGGAGCAACAGTTGAGGAAGGCAATTGCAGTATTCATATCATCGACGGGTGTGTTATCAACAGCTTTTGCTTGGCCGTGTATTTCCTGCATGATTTGACGGCAAGGGCTTTGTCTAACTCGGCTGAGGACAGTGCACCTGTCAATGGCCGCGGGCCTCAGAACGACTGCACTCGCCGATAGATGGAGGAGAATGCTATGGGCCATACAATGCTTAACGCAGCTGCAGAAGCACCCTTCCACTGAGGATTGGTTCTGGTACTACTACATCTGAACCAGGCATCGTAGTGACGTACCGATGCTCCATGAAACGGAGTCCCGCCTCAGCCTGCTAGGGCTGCTAGGGGGATTAGTCGGGTAAGGGCTCAAAAGCAAGACGAGCACTGCGATCAGGGAAAGGTTTCTTGTTCTCGTTCGTTCGTGGGTCTCCAGGCTTTGTCACATCCTTGTACGCTGTACATGCTGTGCATCTTCATTGCCGGCCCGTGCTTCATGCCATGTCGGAAATGCATGTGGTCTGCTGCTCGCCATTTAGCTTTCACAGGGAGGGGCTGAGGCTCGAAGAAAGCATGCAGCCACTCCTGGCGGAGGAAATGCTAGAGTTGCACTAATGAGCATCTCCAGGAGGCTCAATAACGTGTGTTAGGACGGTGAGAATTCCTTTGGAAGAAGGCTCTGGAATGCTTTGCAGATTACGAAAGGAGCAGGACAAGACCTGTAAAGGCTTACCCAACCAGCCAGTGCCAACCCAGAAGTCCCAAATCCAGCATCCCGACAACTTCAAACAAGAGTTGTCTGCATCTAATTTGTTTCTTTCTTTGCTACGGCCAGCATGGTGAGGCTCTTCTGCTCGGGGAATGGGGGGATGATGGCTTCCACTCCACTTCACGGAGGATGGTAATGAGGTCTTGCAACACACTTCCTATGACGATTGGTGACTGACGAAGCTGACCGTGGCAATGCGCTTCAATATATTGGTCACGGATGCTGAGAGCTTGAGGGCGTGTTGCATTAAAGCATTCCAAGACGTTTTGGGTGCTTTCACGGTGCTTGTAAGCATGGTTAAGGTTTCTGGGTTGGGCGGCTGCACGAATCTAGCCCTGCAGTCAAGCTTCGTCAAAGCCAGATCGCATTGAGAGGCACCTGAACGTCACAGTACTGTGATTAGGAAAGCACTAGTGCCGTCAGCCAAGAAGGACAGAACAGTGACGACGGCAGTGAGGATGACGGCGACAGCGTCAATACGCAAGCTCCGATACGTTCTACAGTAGTCCTTCCCTGCATGTGCAGTACGAGCGACATGCCGAGCTCGGGCCCTCAGGAAGTGCTAGCAACTCCGTCTGCTACTGTGCAAGTTCAGTGAAGTTGTTCCCTTTACACTGGTTCTGCCGATTGCGATTTGAGTTTGCAATGTTTTCTCTCGTCCTGCTGATGCTTAGCGTTTAGGATGACAGGGCTGCTAAGGCAACCATGGTGGCACCCAGTTGATGGGTTTTCACTTCAGGAACTAGACTCCTCAGATGAACCGCCGGCACCCACCCTTCTGCCGTGGAGCACAGATGCTGTGTCACTTCGTCGCAGTATGGAGGAGTCATGGAAGCTTAGGTTTAGGCTGACGGTGACAGCTCAGGTCTGGTGCGAAACGGTGGGGTCCACCAAGAGGCCGCTTTGAAGCTGAGTTTTGGATAGCCTTTGGTGCACAGAGCTTCGACGCAAGCTCTAAAGCTAAGTAGGCCTGCACCAGGGTTGAGGCCAGCTGTGATAGCCAATGTCCAGTCTGCCGAATCAATAGCTCGCATGCGTGCTTGCCTCCTAAACTGCTTGTAACCACCTGCCACATCCCAAGAATGCCCTGTGCTTGCATTCTCCATGTGCTTGTTTGTCCCACATCAGGTTCCTGACACGGTTTATCCTGGCTCTACACCAGGTCGGCGGGCCAGCACGCAAGTCTGCTTGAGTGATTTTCGGCGGTCATGTTCTGCACAGCCCGGCGCATGGTCGCGCTTTGCGTATCCGACTGCTGGGGTTCTTTAGATTGAGGAGTCTTTCGAGAGAAACCTGCATTGAGAGAAGCTCCCGGGGACTCAACACGAGGTGAGGCTCCGATACGTGTCTTGGACCACTGGAGCACTACAAAACGGAAACTGGTTTCATCGAGTTTGGAGTTTACTTATCGTTTTTGACGTCGGTCTTCGGCTGGCGTGGCGCTCCCTCCCAGTGGCGTCTGACAGGGATCCCTCAGTGAGCGCAAACGCTTAGAGCTTAGAGACTTCGAGACAATGCGTGCGATGTGGACTCGACTCTGTGAGTTCGTCCAGCTTGTTGAACTGTTGGTGTTGATGCAGGTGCGATTTGGCATCGCGCGGAGCCCAGGATGAATAGCATAAGAAGCATAAAGCAAGAGCAGTAGAGAAGTCAATGCTGATCCTCAGTTATACATGATAGATGGGTATACATACTTTCAGAAACGGAGATAGCCACCTGCGGGGAACATCTCATATGTCTGCTCCTCACTGCTTCTGGACTGCCGGTACCGCCTTCTGACATTTTCCACAGCGACAAACAAAGCGGAGCAGGTCCCACATGTGGTAGATCAAGTCCAGGACCTCGGCGATGCCGTTTCTCCCCGCAGCCCAGTCCCAATGAGAGGCGACCCTGCGACGCCGTGCACGGCCCTTCCTCCGCCTACGGTGGCCTCGCGAGATGGGCAGGGTCATGCCGTGATGACCAAGGTGGCGAGTAACATCTGTGGGCGGCTTTGGTAGATCATGATTCTGTGTTTTGTCCAGTTATTGGTACTGTTCCGAAGCCTCACATGGCGACGTCCAGTCTTGCATTCCTTCTTCGGATCGTGATGTGGTGGGATTCATGGAATGCTGGATAGCGGATAGAGACTCGCGGGTCTACAGATGAAGCCTTCCGCAGGCGTATCAGTGGCGGAATGGCGACTTAGAGAAGGATGACAAGGCCAGGGGAATCCAAAACCGCATGTCGTGGTTTATGCTGGTGGAGAAGAAGCAGCTGGCAGCTGTGCAGATCGACGCGAGCGGCATGTGCCGTGCATGCAGTGCTTTGGTCACGATGTCCACGTGACATCTGGCCTTTCGGAAACATTACCATCATGCAACATACAGTGGGCTCGAGGAATGAAGGAGGTTCAGCGTTTGCGCTGTGCCTCCTGATATTCCAGCCTGCGATTTCGTGCCCTTGCATTGCGAGACTCTTGATGATGGCACGGCCGAGAGAGAGACAGAGAGAGAACATTTGTGAAGGCATTCAATAAATGCTGACTGCGAAGTCGGGGCTGTTTTTTGGAGCTGTTTTTTGAGCCTCGACCTGCCCTCTCGTTCAGGTGGAGTATTTCAGCAACTCGCAGAAGAAGTACATCGCGGCTCAGGTCGTCCTGCTTTCTGACATGTGGGGCAGTTGGAGGCATAGTGGCCCTGCTCAGAGCCTTGAACTTTCAATAAGTACCTGTGCAGGCAACAGCGCACGCTCCACTTTAATCAGAGGCCTTACCCAAAACACCCGGTGCATCGAGCTTCACCTAAATGTGCCTTGAACGGAGTTGCAGGGCTAGTTGACAAAGATTGCCAGCGGTCGAAGTCAGACAACATTCGGGCAGGCGAGAACTAAAACGGTTGCACTTGGTGAGATATCTCAATCTGAAGTACAGAGACACGCACATCTGTGGGACAGAGAGATCTGTCGCAACAAGGATGCGGCTTCCTTGACCCTGGTAAAATTCACATATCTTCTCGTGGTTTTTGATATGCTCCTTGTCTGCGAGCACTCCCTGTGCTGTAGCTGCGCAGGTCCACGCAGTCACCGAAGGGCAGGACAGGGTGGATTTTGAGTTCTTGCGCAAGACCATGAGCTGCATAGACTGGCAAAGCCGTGCGTATACTGCACTGATATTATGCGCTGACCGTTTTGCAGGTGGGTGCCGCTGCGTAGCGTTGGTTTTGAACTGGGCGTGCAATATGTTCCTTGTGCTCGTCACTGCGAATCGAGCAAGTCGGCACAGTGATTTGTACGCTTGTTCGCAGGATGGCTTGATTGCTTCTGTTGACTTGGACTGCAAGAAGCGAGCCAAGCCCAGCAAGAGCCTCAGCGAGAGTCTGATGCTGCAGTGGTCACAGGTAAGGGTTTTTGGTGGATTCCATTTTACGCTCTCCCTCCCGCGAAAGCATTCGTAAGCGCGAGGATGGTTGGAAGGTGTTAAACACGCGTGCAGGGATGCTGCATCGATTGAGAACTGTGGCTGCTGAAGTTTACCTGCAGCATGACTCAGTTTCGTTCAGTCATTTACGGCGGAGCTTCAGGAAGTACCTGGATTTGTTCTTTACCTGCTCAAGGCCAGATTCGGCGTGTGGAGCCGAAGGTCAAGGAGCTACTGAAGTTGACTTACAGTTTGAGCTGTGGTTGAGGTTGATGTGTTGCGGTTTATAACACTCTTGCACATATTGCTGTGTGTGGTGAACAAGCTGTGATTTTGATGACAGATGATGGAAATGGTATGAGGTGGTGTTGCCAAATATATACATCTAGATCCGCACAACGTAATTTCAGTGAGAATGTCGGCGAAATTGTTTTGGGGGTTTCGCTAGCTTCTACGACCAGTCTATTTTATATCATGGTTATTCTGATAACGAACTTTCACGAACTTAGAACACTAGTAGTGCTAGTAGTAGTCGTCGTCGTCGCAACATTGGCAGTAGCAGTAGCTTAGGAGTCGTGGTCGCAGTCGCAGTAGGAACAGCAGCAGCCGCAGCAGTCGTAGTGGTAGTGGTGGTGGTAGTAGTAGTAGCAGTAGTAGCCCTATCTGTCGGAACACCCTACGATCTGCAGACCTCACCTTGTATTGCCGAGCCTGAGCATTAAAAGAAAGTAGTAGCAGAAGTAGTAGGAGCAGTCGTCGTAGGAGCAGCAGCAGCCGTGGCAGTGGCAGTGACAAAGCAGTTCGCTAGCGGGGCAATTGGTAGCAGCGGTTGAATGCTAGTGGCGGTGGTACGGCTAGCAGCAGGACGGTGAGTTTTATTCGCTGTGCTGAGCGGGTGACGACGTTGACATTTGCCTAATTAAAGGGGGGGAGTGGCAAGGCGAGTGGCAGGTCGCACGGCGGTGTTGCTGGTGCTACAGATGTGATTCTGGCACTTAAATCATTGCTATGTTTCTTAGCTTTGTCGTCGTCGTCATCATGATGCTGGGCTATTAGAATGAATTGGTTGCTTCTCTTGTCACGATAGGCTGCTTGGTTGGTCCCTCAGCCGTGGAGGCTAGAACGTGATTTGGGGTTCCGATGCAGCACTGATGACACCTGCTTTTATTTTCAGCACAGCACGTTTGGGACAGATTATGTATGTTGAAAGTCAAGCAGGATTGATGTACTAGTCGGTGATGTAGGTTTCGAAGGCGCCGTCGACAACCGACAACCTTGCTTGAACCAACATGCCCCAGAGCCAGTGCTGCAGACCACTGCAAACAACGGACTGCGCAGGAGTGCCCGTGGAAAGTGGGTGAGAACGTGCAGTACTGGAGTCCCGTACCTGGATCTTCTCTTGTTTGGACGGTTTTGCAGATTTGTAGGCACGTTGCCTTAGCCTTGAGGCTTTCCATAGTCTGTTCCGAGTGTGAGATGTGAGTGTTTGACCATCTTGAATCTCCGATCTGGGTTTTTGGAGCAAGTCCATTGCCACATGTTTGGACTGACATCTGAGCTCAAGATGTCGCAAACGGCATCGGTCGCCGCACTTGGGACCTGCTCTTTCGGAGATCTGCGCTTCCTTCAGACCCCGAGCTTGAGCGGTTCAGAGGTTGCTGCATCCTACTCAGGCGCGTCGCATGGACAGTGGATGCAAGCTGTGGTGCAGAAGATTCGCGAGGAATGGATGGGGAAGCCTGCACTCTAGCGGCGAAATCCAATACTTCGCAGTGCTCAATGACGGGGCGGACAAGCTGATTCGAAGCTCTTGCCCATTTCCGAGTCCTGAGCGCTAGGCCGCTAGATGTTCTTAAAATATCTGAAAGCAAGACGAGGGTGGGACAGCGACCCTTTCAGAGCATAGCACAGATTATCGAATGCATGTGCAGAGTTAACGAAGACGTCACACTTTGAGCAGGAAGAAACCTCAGTATTTGCAGAGACACGGAAGACAAGGAAAAGATTGCTAAACTGTTCACATCTGGGTAGGGCAGGGAGGCGAGAAAGCTTGATGCGGTCTCCTTTGGCACCCAAGCAAGGAAGAGCTAGCGGCTCTCAATCAAGCACCCTTTGCTGCCAGACGCCGGTTGCTTTGATGTTGGTGACGATGCGCGCCAGCCTTTCTGTCATTGCTCCCTCACTACTCGTGCCACGACCTCACCTGCTGCTCCACCTCCTCCCCCTCCTATCCCGCTGTTACTGCTACTTTCTACTCACTCTAGGCACTACTTCTTACTACTACTTACTACTACGTACAACCACTTACGACTACTTTCTACTTACTACTACTTCCTACTTACTATGTGCTGCATACTACTACCACTACCGCTACCACTGCCACTACCGCTACTGCTACCACTGCGACTACCACTTCGCCGACGACGACTACTACGACTGCGACTACCACGACGACGATGACGGCGACGACTTCTTCTACTACCACTAATACCACTACTACCACTACTACCACTACTACCACTACTACCACTACTACCACTACTACCACTACTACCACTACTACCACTACTACCACTACTACCACTACTACCACTACTACCACTACTACCACTACCACTACCACTACCACCACCACTACTACTACTACTACTACTACTACTACTACTACTACTAGCCACCCCCCCCCCCCTACCAACTACACTTGTTCCATCCGGGCTGGGCAGCGGCAGCTGCTAGGGGCCTTAACTGCGACAGTTGCAGAATATGCACGGGCTCAAGCTCCCTATCTGCGACAGCTGCAGAAGTTGCAGGGGCTCCGTTTCCCTAACTGTCACAACCGGTGAAGTTGCAAGGGCTCAGGCCCCAAAACTGCGACAGCAGCCGGAGTTGCAAGCTCGACGGGAAAGAAACAGCTAAACCGCAGGTGGTCGGATAGTACGAAAACGCTGTAAATACCGTGCAAAACCCAGGTGCTGCCAAGAAGGGTTTAACATTTTCAGAACCTGAAGCGCAACATCTTCTAAACATCAAAAAAAAGATGCCAGCTGTACGTGGGAGGGGCTCGCCAACACCCCTACCGCCCAACCTCTGCGTAGGAGGGTCTGTTTTTGAAGTGGTGTGTGTGGTGTGTGCACGCTTGAGTGTGGTAAGATTGTTCAGGGTGTCCGCAAAACAGTGTCGTGATCATCTCCGAAGAAGCTTTCCCCCACCCAATTTCGAGTTTTTTGCAAACAGTTCCAAACAGCAAAGTTTAATACGCATAGTCGAGAAGTAGGGGCTCAGAATTTGTAACAAAGTCTGACATCACGAAAGTACCTGTCAATATGATCGATCTTTGGCACTTCTCCTGTATAGGTCCTCTGTTCCCTCGCAACAGGTGCCGAGCATGGACCCGCGTCGCCACCAAGGCCCAAGAGTTTGCGTGAGTTTTGGGAAAAAGTCTTGCGAAGCCGTGGGACTCCTTTGCTGAGGGCTCGGGCCGTTGCCAGTTTATATTGGTAGCGGAGCCCGGGCTCCTCCTTCTCTGTGCCATGGCTGACGACGAGCACTGGCAGCACTTTGGGGCGCCTGCCCCCAGAGCGGCGACTTGGGCTCAGGAGGGCTGGTCCGAAGAAGCAATCTGGGAGTATCTTCTGAAGAGGACCGATCGGCGGCAATCCGAGGATTGGCGCTCTGAGCACACCAGCGGCGCCTCTGACAGTGCTGAGGGCGACCGCTCATGGAAGGGCGGCTGGGGCGGAGACGGACGAGGAAGAGCCCGTCGTGACCCCGGACGCCGCGATCATGATGGAGCTCTTTTACGCGATCAGCCGCATGATGAACGAGATCCGTGGGCGAAGGCCCTAGAGGAGAGAAGGAGGAGTAGTGGGGCGATTGGGTTCGGCAGCAGCACCGGAGACTTCAGCGACAAGCCGACGGAGAAGATCCCCGTCCCTTGTTTCTCCGGACAGTCGGGGGAGGAGGGCGAGGTCGGGAGCGCGGCCAGGTCTTACCTGAGAAAGGTCGAGGCATGGGAAAGGGTCACGCGCCTCCGCGAAGTCGCTTTGTGCTCCGCCCTGAAAGAAAGGGCCTGGGTGGAAGCCGAGGCCCTCGACCTGGATAAGCTCAGCAAGGCCGACGGCGTGGTCTTCTTCAAGAACTGGATCCGCGAGCGCTTTATGGATATCGAAGTGACGCAGGTGGCGCATCATGAGCCAGTTCTTCCGCGTCCTCCGACGGAACAACGACCAGAGCGTCCGCAGCTTCACCGGCGACTTCGACAGGATGGTGGCTAGACTGGCCGAGGTCCAGGTGTCCCTTCCGGAGACCGTGCTGGCATGGATGTTCATAGATAAGCTTCGCCTGGACGAGGCGGGCGAGATCTCCTTGCTGGCGTCGGTGCGCAACGAGTACCGCCTGAAGGTGCTCCAGGAGGCCGCCCTGATCCACGACCGGCCGTCTAGAAAGCCGTGGGAGGAGTCGAAGGCCAGCCGGCCGCACCGAGCAAAAGGCGTTCACCTGGCTGCCGCCGAAAGCGACCTGGACGAGGAGAGTGCCGACAGCCAGGGCCCCGGCGAGAACGAAGACGACAACGCCTGTGTTGCGAGCGAAGACGTGGCACAGGAGCTGTACGGGGCCTACCTTGCACACCAGAACGCCAAGTCGAAGTACCGAGAAGCAGTGCGAGGCAGAGGCTACAACGACGACCAGTCGAGGGAGAAGGCCGCGGCCCGGCTGAAGTTGGCGAAGGAGCCCAGCTTTTGCAGCGCCTGCAAAAAGAAAGGGCACTGGCACAAGGACCCGGAGTGCCCGATGAACAAAGGAGTGGCGAAGACGACCCACTTTGTGCAGCCCTTCGCGGTCCACGTGGTCGAGGTGCACGTGGCAATGAAGACCGGCCCGGGACGGCTGGTGGCAATCATCGACACAGGGTGCGCCAGCACGGTGGTGGGGTACCCTTGGTTCGAGAAGTACATGGCCGAGGCGGATCACAGGGGCATCGAATACCACATCGATGATTGCGAGGGCGAGAGCTTTAAGTTCGGAGCTTCCCGGGTCTATCGGGCCGACTTTGCGGCTTGGCTGCCATTTTGCCTGGGAGGCAAGTGGGTCGCCGTCCGGGCGTTGGTGGTCCCCTGCGACGTGCCGTTCTTGATGGGGCGGCCGGCCATGAAGGAGCTGGACGTGAAGATCGACCTCGCGAAGGAGGCCGTGGACATTGGCGTGCTTTGGGTCCAGGGCGTCCCCCTGGAGGAGGCCGAAGGCAGCCACCTGGCCATTGCGATTTTCCCTGAAGGGGAGTGCCGTAGCTGCCCCCGCTTCCGGTGGGAACTTGTAAAGACCGAGAGCGTCAATGGAGTATGGCATCGCAGCGCACATCGGGCATACATGGCTGAAGCGTCCGAGGGAAGAGGGCAGAGCGATAAGCTGTTCTACGCTAAGCGTTTGCCGCCGACCATTGAGGATATGCTGGCTGGGGAGGAGTTGCAGGCCGAAACGTTCCTTGGGTGGTGGAAGGGGAGCAACCTGCAAAAGGACTTCTGGATAGAGCGGGGGGACAACCTGATCCGAGTCCACGTGGTGCCCCGAAAATTCCCCTTTACACCCCAGGGTGGAACACGGAGCAGCAGCACCTCAAGACCCAGCTTCTCAGAGCGCTTGGCCCAGAGTCGGTGGAGGAGAGAGTGCCATGCAGAGGGCCACAGTTGTTGTGCAAGACCGTCCGGCAGTGGAAAGCCCAGGATCCCAAAGCAGAACCGCATGCGTTGTGGATCGGCCGAAGCGTTTTTCGAAAGCTTCCCGCCCCAGCGCCGACTACCCCTGCCACCTTCGAGGTGAATTTCGCGGCCGGCGCTATGGTCGATGTCCAAGGCCAGCATGGTGGAGGAGCTCAAGGAGTACCAGATCACACCGCACCCCAGCTGGGGGATCAACGAAGTGAGGGAGATGCTCAAGGAGCAGAGGGCAGCCAGAACGGGCGATGTGGAAGCCCCCAAAGGGTTGTCGAAGATGACATTGGACCAGCTGGTGGCAGAAGCCAAGCGATGCAACATCATGCTCCCGGAGCGCCCGACGAAGGGCGTCTTGGCCAAGATGATTCGCGACCACAAGGTCGCGCCGAACGACACCATCGTCGGCTTCGGCAGGTACAAGGGGTGGGCGTACGCCCAGCTGCCGGGCGACTATTTGGAGTGGGTCCTGACCGAGTGGAAGACGGCGGAGAGCTGCAGCGACGACCTGGCTCGCCTAGCCCGGTGGTGGGAAGAACAGAAGAAGACCAAGGGGCCGCCGCCGCGCACCCGGACTGCCCGAGGACGACCCCGAGATGACGGCTACCGTGCCACCGCCGGCCTTTCGCGCCGCACAGAGCAAAGGAAACCCCAGCGGCAGCAGCCACGAGTCAGCCCGGCGGGTTCCCCGAGCAGGTGCTCGCTAAGTCCGCGGAGGGCCCGCCCCGACAAAAACACCAAGAATTCGATTCAGCGCGAGCTCGCGGAGCTGAAGGCGAGGATGGAGCACTTGGCGGCGATGGCGCAGAAGCTCGAGGACGAGGACACCAACAAGAAGGCCAAGGAGAGCCACCCTCGCGCGTCCCGATGGGACGAGAAGCCGTCGGGAATGTGAAGGCGTTCCTCCTGGGGACGGCGTGTCGGGATAGGATCCTCAAGCAGGCCCGGCAGCTCAAGAGGCACCTGGCGACCGAGAGAGCAGTCTACGACTCCAGCTCGGCTTCGAAGGCAGCCAAAAGAGAAGAGCAGCCCGAGCACACGACGAGCCACGCCAACATCTACGTGGTTGGCGGACACCCTTCTCTACAGGAGGCCCTTCAAGAAGGCGAGGGCGAGGAGCTTCCCCGGACCGAGCCGGCACAATGGTCTAAGAAGGCCGCTGAGAGTGTCTTTGAGAAGGTTGCGTTGGAACGGCCCCAAGTCCTGTGGATCCACCTTCCCGAAGGCGTCTGGGAGCGAAAGCCCGGTGCCGGGCCCAAGCATGCCAGGCGCGGGAACAAGGAGCACCGCAGCATTTTGCAGGTGGTGCTGGAAGCGATGGAGCAGCAAGCGGTCGACCAGCGCGCGGTGGTGATCACGCACCCGACCGACAGCGAGCTCTGGAAGGCGCCTGGGGTCCTCAAGTGGGAAGCGGCGTGGCCACACCAGGTCATCTACTACAAGGTGAAGCGGCCCGGCCACGACACAGGAATCCAGATGAAAGCCGCTCTCACCGAAGACGTCCGGGTGCAAACAGCCAGCCTGCGAGAAGAAGGCGCCCAGGGAGATCCACTGGCCCGCGCGGTCAAGAAAGGGATGGAGCAGTCGAGCACGGAGGCCCGGGAGGTCTACACGGGCGGCCTTCAGGACTATATCTCGGCCGAGCCCAACACCGAGCCCCACCTCGAGGAGCACGGGGCCAACAGCATCCGCTTTGACCCTCGGGTGCCAGCCGCGGTCCAAAGCACGTTGCGGAGAATGCACTGCACCAGAACCTGGGTCACATCGGGAATGAGGAGCTGGCCCGTCACCTGAAATTGTCGGCGGCCTCGAGCGAGGCGATCAAGGCATGCAAGTCCCTCAGGTGCCGCACATGCCAATCATGTGCCAGGCCGGCCTCGGCCCGACCTGCAAAACCGGTGCCCCTGCTTGACTTTAACGAGGTGCTCGGGATCGACCTGATTTTCCTCAAAGACTCCGTGGGGGCGACCCACGTGGCGCTGAGTATGGTCGACTACGCCTCCACGTTCCACGTGGTGGTCCCGGTGAAAGACAGGACCGCCAAAACTTTGGCGGAAGTGGTTCGCGACCACTGGGTGGCCTGGGCCGGCCCCCCGCGGTCCTTTGCACTCGACCTCGACTCCGGCTTCAAGGGGGTGTTCGATGAGATGTGCTACGAGTTCGGCTCCTTTATGTCGCACGCCGCAGGCACGGCACACTGGCAACATGGGCTGGTGGAGCGGCACAACGGAGCCTGGAAGAGCATATGGGAGCGAGTGGTCGACAGCGAGATGGTCGCGGACTATGAGGTGGCATGGGCCGCCGCTGAGGTCAGCAACGCAAAGAACCAGTTGAGGAACAAGGACGGATATTCACCAAGGCAGTGGGTCTTCGGAGTGAACCCCAGGCTGCCCGGAGACGTCCTGGACGAGCCGCACAACCTCTCCGCCATGAGCCACCTCACGACGGATGCCCGGATGCAGCGCATGAACGCCGTGCGCCAAGCTGCGAGGATCGCCTTCCTACGAGTACAAACCGACCAGGCGATGCAGAGGGCCCTGCTGCACAGAAGCAGGGTGAAGAAGACCCACTACGAGCCTGGCGACCTGGTCTTCATCTATACCGCGAGAAGAAGCCTGAGAAAGGGAAGAAGCCGGTGAAGATGTGGATCGGCCCGTGGACCGTGGTGGGCAGCGAGGGACAGAACCTCTCGGTTTCCAAAGGAGGACGGTGCCTGCTGTGTGCCCCCGAGCACCTACGACCAGCCGAGGCCGAGGAGATCTCGGAGCTCCTGAGGGTGCGGGCCTCGATGGACGACGTGGATCGCTTTCGCCCCGGCCGAGGCCGAGGACGCAGAGGAGGACGACGACGAGATTTGGGAGGAACTGCTTGGCCGAGAGCCCGCTGACTTTCAAGAGCGGAATGAAGCCGACCCCAAACAAGGCGAAGACCACGGACGGAGAGGAGCTAGAGCCGACCGGGGGAGGACCGGACATGGAGCTCGACAACGACGAGGCGCAGGAGGTCCTTTTCGGCAAGGTCGCGGCTACACAGGCCAGCCGCGAAAAGCAGATGGAGAGCGAGATCCCATGGACCTCCAGCGATCGGCCAGCATTCCTGGAGGCCGAAGCCAAGCAGTGGGAGGAGCACATCCAGTTTGGAGCGGTGCGGGTCTTAAGCGAGCAAGAGACCCAGGACGTGCTCAAGGAGGTGCCGGCCGAGCGGATCTTGAACAGCAGGTTCGCCTACAAAGACAAAGCACGGGCACAGCGGCTTAAGGACCCCACCGTGCCCATCCGGGCGAAGGCCAGGCTGTGCATTGGGGGGCACCGAGACCCCGATTTGGGGGTGAGGGCTCTGGCGGTCGACGCTCCCACGGCCAGCAAGGAGAGCCTGATGCTCGGCATGCAGTGCGCCGTCTCCGAAGACTGGTGCGCTAGCATTGGCGACGTGCAAGCCGCCTTCTTGAACGGCGTGGACCCCTCGGGGACTCTTCTTTCGACAGCCGGCGAGAGGACTGCCCGGAGTGCCGGAGGGGAGACTCATAGAAATTGTGAAAGGAGTCTTTGGATTGTCTACATCCCCGCGGCTGTGGCTCGAGAAGCTGGTTTCAGAGATCCTCCAGGTGCGTCGACGAGGGGGACCTGCACTTCGAGCAGGACTTGATAGATCCTTGTGCTTTTCAGTCGGGGGAGGCGGCCAGACCAAGGGGATCCTGGAGACCCACGTCGACGACTTGCTCCTCCTCACAGAGCGGCGCCTACGCAAGATCGTGCAAGCAGCGCTGTCCGGGATCTTTCCGATCTCGGAATGGGAAGACGATGACTTCAAGTATGTCGGGAGCAACTACGCGAAGACTACGGAAGGGTACAAGATCACCCAGACCGACTACGTGCATGAGCGCCTGAAGCTCGTCGATCTCCCGAAGGGAGCCAACCAGGAGCGGGTGGACGAAAGGCTGTTCCACGACAACAGGACGGCGGTCGGCTGTCTGAGCTGGCTGGCCAAGGAGTCCCCACCACACCTGGCATGCGCAGCAAGTCTGGCGCAGTAAGCCCAACGTTGCAGGAGATCAAGGACACCAACCGGGCCATCCAGCAGGCGAAGGACTTCCGGGAGAGCGGCATCACGATCGCGCCGATTCCCCTGAAGGAGATGAGCCTGGTGGTGTTCCACGACGCAGCCTGGGCCAACGCTGAGCCCCAGGACGCAAGCATTGAAGATTTGGCCGGGCACAAGGTGGGGTCACAGATTGGCCTCCTCGTCCTGGCGGTGCATCGCGACTGCATCGGGAAGCGCTCCGGCCAGGTGAGTGTTCTGGCTTGGAAGTCACATGCTTGCAGAAGGGTGTGTCGATCGACCTTTGCCGGGGAGACCATGGCTAGCTGCGAGCTCGGATGCTTACGCTCCTTCAGCGCAGGCTGGTCAAGGAGGGCGAGGCGGCCGAGATCATGCCGATCCACGCCGTCACCGACTGCAAGAGCTTCTACGACTTCGTCCACAGATGCGGAACGCCTAAGCCGACGGCGGACCGAAGGCTGATCATCGACCTGGCCTCGCTGAAGCAGATCTTCCACAACGAGGCCCGAGGCTGGTGGAAAAGAGAGCGAGGTGACGATGTGCCGGCAGTCGACGACCCACTGGTGATACCGTTCCACTGGGTGCCCAGCGGAAGCCAGCTGAGCGACGTGTTAACCAAGCAGATGAAGCCTGACAGCTGGTGGGCCATGATGGCACAGCAGTTCTTTTTAGCGGTCTCGCACCAGAGAGGGTAGAAAGAGGAGAGAAGGAAGCCAATGTCAATATGATCGATCTTTGGCACTTCTCCTGTATAGGTCCTCTGTTCCCTCGCAACAGGTGCCGAGCATAGACCCGCGCCGCCACCAAGGCCCAAGAGTTTGCGTGAGTTTTGGGAAAAAGTCTTGCGAAGCCGTGGGACTCCTTTGCTGAGGGCTCGGGCCGTTGCCAGTTTATAGTACCGTAAATACCGAGTTAAACGGCTCTTGTGGTGATACTGCTGGGTGTGTTCGCGTAACACTGTCGTCATCATCCCCCCACACCCCCCCCCCAGAAGCAAGTCCAAAATCAAGAGCCCGAGTTTGCAAACTCGACAAGTCGATTTTTAGGCCTCTTAGAATGATCGCACATGACGAACGTGCCGTAAATACCGAGTAAAATGGATGTTGTCTTAACATGGTTGAGAGCAAGTGTAGTTGGTAGGGGGCGGGGTGCCTACTACTACTACTACTACTACTACTACTACTACTACTACTACTACTACTACTACTACTACGACCACAAGCACTAACGAGCACTGCCGCCGCCACGGTCACCATCACAGTACCACGACGACCACCGCCGCCGCCGCCACCGCCGCCGCCCCCCCCACCACCACCACCACCACCACCACCACCACCACCACCACCACCACCACCACCACCACCACCACCACCACCACCACCACCACCACCACCACCACCGGGATCATTATGTTTAACAGTATCACACTACTGCTGACACCACTGCTGCCACTACCCCAACACCACTCGCGTGAGCGACCAGTACAAGTATTTGTTGCGCACTACCCTATTGCCATCATGAGCTGAGCAAGTTTAGAACAAGGCAGACAAGTCTCAAAATGTAACTGCGCATAATCTCATCATGGAAGAATGCCGAGAGGCATAAAATGATACTTGCAGGATGCTTTCATCGACCTTGACATCAAGAGTGCAGCTCGTCCTGAGCGCATACGAGCGACGCAGGCAAGATCGGGGTTGAAACTTCTTCGAAAAGCTTTGGCCCTGCTGCTTGTCCATGATAAGGAAAGTTGTTCTGAAGCCCAGTACCAAGCATGCAATTCAACAGGTCGATGGTGTTTTGAGAAAAACCCCAACGGTATAGGTATACTCGGCCTCATAGTTTGCGTGACTTTCGGGCGGTCTTCAGCACTTTTAAAATCGACGGCAAAGTAAGGTGGAACATATAGTTTGCCTCTAGCTTTGCTGTGCTTGAAGTCGGGCCATTTGCACATCGACCCATCTCAGCGAGGGTCACTGCGGGGTTCGGTAAATGCCCAGGTGTGTCTTTTGCCTCCCAAAAGATTCACGCAGGAGAACGGTCTTCACGACGCAGCTTGCTGGCAGAGAACATTGAAGGCTGCGAATTTTGTTTTTTCCAAGTGACTACATCCAGCAACAACGCTGTTGCTAATGATGCCGCGTGCAGCACAGCTTAGCCGAGAGTCGCAAGAATAAGTTTGTGCCCCTTGCGCTGACAACATAGTAAACCTGGCAGCACAAATGCCGACAATTGCCGTTCCTGCATGATCTTTTCCAGATCACCAGCAGGGCATCGTCGCCTGGAGCTCCTCGTCATCACCTGTACCATCACGACTTGCAGTAGTTTTAATGACAACTGCAATAGCGAAAGCAGGAACAGAAACACAACAAGAGCAAGATCATAATCACAATAGCAAGAACCACAAACTCAAAGAACGCAGGTAGAAAAAAACACAGCAGTTTCAACACCATTAACCACCTGTCGTGAGCGTAGTTATCAGTGTGTTATTTTCATCATCACGTTCACCACTACGACTACGATACATGTCTCCATCTTCTGGATACCACTATAAGTATCATGTGGGATCATCAGCAGCATTGTCAGCAGCGCCGTTAGCACTATCCATCGGAGCATCGTCCACATCGTCATTACCATCGCCACTATCAATGATGACTATGGTGATGACGTCGGTGATAACGAAGAGGATGTTCGTCATTATTACCAATACCATTACTGCTATCGGCATCGGGACCATCATCGCTATGATCTTCCGCCTCGTCATCTTCACAAAAACAGTCTGGCACGGCGGGCCTTGCCGACGCACGCAACTGAGGCGCCTCCCAACGTCAAACCGCGAGCTTCACGAAAGAGCCGCATCCACAGTGATAAAGATCGAATAGCTGGGTCCTTCAGTTTCCGTGTGTGGGAATTGTACGCAGCCTTGTGCATGATTGTTGGCTTGGCTGTGTCCTGTTGTAGATATCGCCTGAGCGACGTCCCAGACACAAGCAGCACCGGATTCAGGTGAAGTTCGGATGCCATCCATCGTGGCCACCAGTCCGCCTATAGGCCTTGCGTTGCATAGCCGGAGTAAACCGGCGCATGCGTGTGATTCAAAATTGATACATCATGTGCGCTCAAGCTAATGCATCTCGCTGCAAACTTTACGTCGGTTCAAGTATGCCCCGATGCAGGGAATGGAAAGCCACAAGCCACTGCAGCAGAAGGCCAGCTGCAATGGCCTGCATTGGTTCATTGGTGATGCGGCGATAGCCTCCTGCTTCGTGACTCCAATGCTTTGCACTCAGGGAGGCCTCCGGCGGAAGTCGGAGGAGCGGCTGCGCAGCCGGAAGGCCCTACGCGTGGTTGGATGTGGGCATGGAAGGGTCATACGATGTCAATTTCACTACATTCTGTGATACGTCAACAAGCCAAGCGCGAGCATGTTGCATTGCACACGAATAGAGCAGGGTCATAGTAGCGGTAAAAACATATGCCTCAAAGGAGTAAAGCACAGAATGTGAATCGATTTGTGCTGTCGCACGGTGTATGTACTCGTTCTGACTTTCACGAACTAGCTGCCTTCGCGGAATGTGCTGCTTCTATGGACCGTCCGCGACAGTCAGAAATTGCCTTTTGGAAGCGGCTTACGCAAGCCTGATCGTGAACCTGACCAACAGTACACCATCTGATGCCGACCTTCTTTTCAGAACTTTCTGCAGCTGGCCAATCCTATTACAGACGGAAGTGGGACACTGGATACGAACAGTTGCAGAATCAGAAACTGGACCTTGAATCAGAAACCGCACATCACAAGCCAGGCGCGCATCAGAAACCGCTCATCGGAAACCGCCGCGCATCAGAAACCGCCACGCATCGGAAGCGCGAACCAGAAAACCGCGCATCGGAAACCAGCGATAACCAGCGTGCATCAGAAACTGGAAACGAGGCTGGGGTGGAGGGGCGGGGATTGGGGTGGAGCGCATGGGTTGGTAGCGGCAAACTCTGCGCCCTGTGTCCGACAGCGCCTCCGCAATGTAGGGACGCCATTGTCCAGCTCAGGTCGAGCAGCATCCATCGGCCAATCTTGATATCGTCCACCAGACCCCATCGTGCCCGCAGAGCATCCAAGGACCAACTGTGATAACGCCCATGGTCGATTGCACTATGCCCCAGTTCAGCCCGCAATCCGGAGAAAGCAGGAGATGCGACCTGAGGCAAAAACAAGTGCCGCGCCTTTGTGCAGACCAAGCACGTCTGGATGAGCTCAACGCGAATTTTCCGACGTGACCAATATTCTCCAAGAGTTTCTGCATCACTCGTTTTGCATTTCGGCATCACACACCCAAATCCCGAAGCAAGCGTTGGGTCGTCGTCATGCTTTCCGAATCAGCCGTTCTGATGTCCAAATTACGGTTTGTTTCCGAATCATGGTTGATTCAACCGTTCTAGTTACCCATTTAGTCTTTCTGAACATCGATTTTCCGCCGACCCACTGCATAGCTCCTGCATACCGCTCGCCCCTCATGCAATGATACAGAAAACATGAATTGTCGTATTTGTTATCCTGGCATGAGACTTTGATCTGCATGCCAGAAAGAGATGAGGCAGCTGTTGCTGTCCATGACGATCGTGATGATGATGGCAGTGCCCATGGTCGAGCAGGGTCGTGATGAAGATGCTGAAGCTGATGATGGCGATGGTGAGTGATCCTTCCAGTGGTCTTAGTATTGAGGGCGACGTAACAAGGAAGTGGACGACGGTTTACATGCATATTAATACATGTGTACATGCATGCAGACAGACACCAACCATACATTAATACAACATGCGTACGTTCCATATGCTTACACACTGCATACATTACATACATTCCTGCATGCATACATACACACATACTCACACACATACACACATACATACATGAGCGTATGCATCAGACAAACATACACACACTCAAACAAAGAAACAAAGAAACAACAAACGATCCCAAGAACAAAGCAACGAACCAAACAAGTAACCACAAATTCAAAGAAACAAAAAGGTAAACACGCAAACAAGCAAACACACAAACAACCAAACACACAAACGGAAGCAACCAAACAAACAATCTAAATAACTAAGCAGAACAAAGCAGCTAGTAAAAAAAGCTAGCTAGCTAGCTTGCTAGCTAACTAACTAGTCAACTAACGAACCAGCGAACTGGCTAACGACTACCCAACACACAAACGAACAATGCGAAAGTACACTAGTTCAGAATGCGCACCAAACTACCCTAAAGTAATTCCGTGCACAAGCTCACACGACTTAGACCAAAGTAACCCTGAAGTTCAGCAGCGCCTTTTCTCGTAGGGCAAAGTGGTCTTGAGCCAACGACGGTTGGCAAAGTCTGGGGGAGAAAGGGAGGTGTTATTTTCACACGCCTCCTCGAGATTAAAGTTAACTACTTTATTCTCGCAAAGTACAATAACACATAAAAGTGTACATGTACATGTGTGAGCTCACGGCCAAAGTTTTGCAAAGCAGCTGCTCGGAGAAAATTGCAACGAGGTCTCCTATCTACAACCTCAAAAGTTGACTGGTAAAAGTAAGCGTTCGTAGTGCTCGTGGTGCAAAGTGTCGTGACTGCGCACGGCACATCAAAGTGCAGCGTGGCCCAAAAGTGGTTGGCCCATCTAAGTGCAGCAACCAAAGTGGCACCAAGCGTCAAAAGACG